TGACATGTAATAGTCCACTAAGCAAGGCAGGGCTATACCCCCTGCTCCATTGGCAGCTGAAGGGTTGAATATTATTCTCTTGGTTTTTTATTACGCCATATAAATCTGGAAATATGCTTATCCCACTCCCTAAATTGTTTTGCTGGGACCTCTACTGGGAGTGCTGCAAAGACATATAATAATCTAGGGAGAACATTTACTTTTATTGTCCGTATTCTGCTGCCAAGGTCAAGGGGAAGCATACTCCACCTTTACAGATCCTCATATATTATAATCATCTTATTTAAGTTATTTATTCTTATGCTCTTCAATTATTTGTATTTGATCACTGCCACAGAAAATTATTTTTCTTTTTCCTCATGAGGAGCCCTTAGAATTGTCTTGCCACTGAAATGTGCTATATAAATAAACTTACATGCCTTCTCCAAATTAAGATCAGTTTGAAAATAACACAATATTGAAAGTCTGATTTATTTATAAAATGGTTAGCTTTAATAACGAGGTTTTGGTAGGTCATTTGGAATTGCCCCACTAATCTGAAACTATCATGACCCAGAATGCTTGGATCAGTGTGGAAGAGCAGTATTCAGATATAAGCAGTTTTCACTTTTATTATTATTTGGACTTTTTTTACTTAAGAACCAAGGGTGTTACTGATTCTCCTTTTTACAAGCACCTAAATTTTATGGTTCTTATGGTTTTCTCGTGCTTTTCCCATTAAATCTTTAAACAAATGCATATTGTAAATATGCATGTCTTGCACTGGGCTGATGTTAGTGCTTTTATATTTCACCCAACTTTAATCAGATAATTAAGGTTCAACACTTGCACCATGGGGACCAGCAGAGTGCTGGTGTCAGGTTGTTCCTCTGGTATTGGCTTGGCTGTGGCAGTACGCTTGGCCAACAATGTGACCAAACACTTTAAAGGTCAGAACTTGAAGTTGTCCTCACTGCACCTAAAATATCCACTACATAATAAGAATATAGAATTAGATATTAATTACATCCTGTCTATTTGTCTTTCTCTGAGCCAGTAGTTTCCACAATGAGGGATCTTGAGAAACATAACCCACAAAAAAAGCTGCAGGTTCTGCATTTAATAAAATCCTAGTGATCCAAAAGTTTGATGTCTGCTGTGAGGAATTCATCAAAGAGTGCATCAACTGTCTCCCCAACCGCCAAGTGGATATCCCTGGTCTGTTTTCTTTGCACTATGTTCAAAGTACATTTGAATTCACAAGAACAGATGATTGAAAGAGACCATTGTGCAGCTGTAGTGAGCAAAGCTGGCATCGGCAGGTTTGGACCCTTCAAGTGCCAAAGTTGCTGCAATGAAGGAGCTCTTTGACGTCAACCTTTTTAGCCTAATGCGGTTGGTGAAAGAGGTGCTGCCAGACATGAAGCAAAGGCAGGACGGCCATACTGTGGTGATGAGCAGTGTCGTGGGAATACAAGGTTTGTTTTGTTTGACTGAATAGAATTTCAGACATAGTAGTTAAAAAAACACTTCTTCTGCTGTTATTAACTCGCCTAATGTTTCCACAAAGGACCTCTGTTCAGTGATGTCTACTCTGCGTCCAAGTTTGCTGTGGAAGGATTTTGTGAAAGTCTGGTTGCAAGAGCATTGAAATGTAACATCAAGTGAACAATAAAGCATCTTAAAACACTGCAGCCAGGCACAAGTAAACCTTCAGTTATCAAATAGTCTTTTTTCAGTTTAACAGAATTCCTGGTAGTGGATTTACATCTTTTTTTTCCCCAAGCACTACGCTGGTGGAACCTGATCCTGTTATGACTGAATATGAAAGAAAAATGAAAGACAAGAACATAGATATGTTGGACTGCTGAGATCTTCCATGACATCTATCTGCTGTACTCTTAAAAGGTCTTCACAGCATTAGGCCAGATGCCTCAGGGAAGTGACTGAGGCAACGCTTTGTTTAAATCGTTATTTTTAGAAATGACAAACACACTTTTTAGCTTAAATGTATTAAGAAAATACCTATGGATATCAAATATTCTTTTCGCTCTGTTTAGCAAACACACAAAGCAAATACAGCCAAGGAGCCTCCTCTGCTCCACCAGACCAACCGGCTTTAGATGCCCATGACTGCAGTGAAGTGTGCAGACCCAGCTGGCAAATGTTGCATAGGAGGGGAGGGATCAAATAGCTATTTATTTCAACTGTGGTTACTCTGATTTTTTTTTTTTTTCGTTCGACATCAAATTTAAAACTTTGTCTCTCATAAACCATGAAAAGCATTAATAGCAATACTGCTTCTTAAATAAGGATTTATTTATCTTTTATAAAAGGCATTTTTTGTGCTTGTTTTTTTCCCCATAGTAAATTATTTTGACTTTAGTTGTGACAGACATAGCTCATTTTTTTCTTAAGGGCCTGATGCATAAAATGCAAGAACTTCCATCCTTTTAAAAACCTGAGCTGTTAGAGGCTTTGTTTTTATATTAATGAATTATATATTAACATCAGCTTATCATTTATGGAAGTATAAATGTTTGCTTCTAATCAAACTATATGTACTTGAGTATTTAACATCTAAATACAGGCTAGAGATTTTATTTTTTTATTTATATACGAGAATAGTCATAACATTATGAGAATAATGTTGTAACATTATAAAGTCGTAATATTATGAGATTAAATTCATAATATTAGGAGAATAAGTTGAAAAATTATCATAATAAAGTCAAAATATTACGAGAATAAAGTCATAATATTACAAGAATAAAATGGTAACATTACAAGAAAGTCATAAAATTATGACAATGAAGTCATAAAATTACGAGAACAAAGTCATACAATTACAAGAATAAAGTTATATTTTATGACAACTCTTACAAGAAGTCAGTCCTCCCTAAAATGAGGAATGTCAAGCATCTTGTGAAGTTATACTTTGGCATCGGTTTCACAAATAACGAAATATGAAGACAAAGTGGATTTAGGTTGCTGTTTTTTGATGGTGCTGGGCGGCCGTCATATATGCTGCAACTTTATTCTCATCATTTTATTACTTTATTCTGATATTGTGACTTTATTAATATTATGACTTTATTCTCATAAGAGTATGACTTTATAATGTTACATTATTCTCATAATGTCTCACAATGACTTTATCTAATATTTTTTTTAAACACTAGCCTGGCTCTATTACTCCGTCATAAGGAACAACTGTTATGCCATATGATCAAATTCCCAGGGGGAAATCTTGTGAATTAAAATCAAATGTTATTTCAAATTATTAAAATAAAGATAAATAAATATGATTAAATGCACTATCCATAACCCCATCTGTTTCTAAAAAAACAAATTCTTTTCATTACCAAACATTTATTCTTCTTGTACAGAAAGAACATTTTCGTTTGCAATGTTGGATCCACACAGTCAGTCCTAAATGTGTTAAAACATGATTTTTATTTTCATTTGGACTATTCGTCATCTCTTAAATGTAGGTTAGCAGATTTTCAATCTGAGCTTAAATATAGACCAGTTTCTATAATTTCTTGTTTTCTCTACCTGCTGTTTTTCTCACAAAAAATATTTCACTGTATTTCACTGTCTGTTGAAGGAGGCAAATCTTTATCTTTTACATCTATTATAAAATTGAAAGAAAACAGGTTTAAGCCGCTTATCTGAAGCTATCTGCGGCACAAAGAAAGGTTGGACAATTACCTCTGAAGATTAAACCAGCTGATAACGGACTGCTTATAAATTCTGCTCACCACACCTTAACATTGTTTTTAAGGACAGCCTTTATATCTACAAACTACTACAGGTTTAAGTTTGTCAAAAGGAAACCATACATGTGCTGATGTAACAAGTTTGCAAAAAAAAAAAAAAAATTAATTAGTCTCACATTCAAATAATGCTAAATGAAATACACTTTATTTCTCTTTTTAGTACATAACAATCACTTTAGGAAAATAAGACTTCTTAAGCAACGATCTACCCAAAACATATTTACAGTTTGTAAATGAAATTCTGTGACTGAAATGGTGAATGTACAAAACACTTAGTGCGACCTGGCAGAGAAAGTTTAAGACCAGTGGTAAAAACAAATTAGAGCAAAGAAAAATAAACCTTTTCACCTCCAAATGCGATTCAAACTGGGCCACTCTTTCCCAGGTCTGAGGGAACAGAACCCGGTCCCATAATGAACAAGGCAACAAAAGAAAACCCAGATAAACTCGGTGGATAATTCAACTAAAGGCAGTTTTTAGGCAATGTTACTGTAAACTGATAACTAGAAGTGGTGGGCTAATTCTTCTCTGCTCATAAGCATGAAATGAAAAGGAAAACATGTTTGTTTGAGAATGCTATCATTAAAGAAGTCTGAAATGAACATAGTATGTTATAGGAAGGTGCCCCCCCACATTCTACATGCCCAGGTTACATAAAAACAAAATACTCGTTCAGACATAATACAAGTGTTAACTAAGTGACTCTGAGTTTCCTCTTAGAACTATGCAAAGACAAAAACACTACATAGTAGTGTTTTATTCCCACTGTCATTCATATTGTACTACCACACAACTTCATGGGCCCTGGATGTGGTATCTACTGTAGATGCAAGGGGATCATTCCTCTGCATGCCATAATAATGCCTCCCTGAGGAGTGACAAGGCATCAGCAGTCACAGTCCAGAAGCCCCACCCTCACACAAATCACCACTCCCAATTTCTCAGATCTCAGCTGCAACAGTCCAATTTAGGTTACCGGGTCAGCCATTTCAACGGGTGTTTTGTCTAGTTCGGTGTCATTTTAAGGCAGCCATTCTAAAAAGACAAGACAAGAACAATGGAGGAATGTTTGCAGGGAAGAGTGATAAAAAAATAGCAGCGGATATAAGCATAGCTTAATACATCTGAAGTGATGTTTAACAAAGAAAAAGGTAATTATGCTTTTCCACAAACAAGAGTATAAAACAATAAAAAAATATAATGTAAGGGCAGTGAAAAGCTGATTTTTAAAGGCCAAACTTTTTTTTTTTGTGAAACATAAATAAAAACAAACACTTAAAAACTAAAAGTAATAAATTCGGCAGTAAAACTGTCAGCAAATACTCTAGCATCAGTGAATAGTTATATAAAATAGATGCATCACACTTAATATTTTCTCAGATTTTCTTTTTAAAGATTATATGTAAAATTCACAGCGATTAAATGCCCTTTATATTATAAATATCCAATGATGCCAAATGTTGTATTTGACAAAGACTTGCCCTTTAAGGCTGGTCAGTTGAAGTGCTTTAAAGACACTTATCTACATTCTTGTTCACAACACTCATATAGAAAGTAAATATTTACCATAACTTGAACATAACTACTGCAGAGCAATTTATGGAAAGTAGTTGCTAGAACCATTATGATGGCAGTTTATATAAGAGGCTAGAACAGAATTAAAACTAAAGGGCAGTTCAGATAGATAAAAACAATAAATAAAAATAAACAAATTCCCTTCAACATTTCACTTTTCTCTGTTCTACTTTTTAAATGTTTGTTAGTTTTCCGGAGAGTTTTCCCAAGTCTTTATAATTAAAGGCTTGGTTTTCTTCATATATTTTTTTTATAATAAAAAATAGTCCATCTGTGACAGAATTACTTCATTAAATTGTCTGCAGTTTTTTCAGACAACACACATTTCCCTTTACTTATTTTTTCTCTGCCGTGTTCAGCAGCAGACGGTCCTCTTATACACATTGTCTGCACAAATCCAAAGAAAATCTTGGAAACATGCTGACAGATAAAACACAGACAGACCCAAAAGTCAGTCTAAAAACTCTTTGTAACCCAGGTCCCTTTTCAGGTCATGTCCAAATGATCTTCATGCAAACACCTGCATCTTGCCATTGGCCTCTGGGATTTGAGTAATTTGGGTCTGGTTAGGGACAGCAACGGCTGGACTTGGTGTGGAATCGGACCAATCAGAGACACAGTGGGGAGAAGGACTGGACCAGTGCTCTGGAGACTCTGGAGAAGGGGTGAGATACGGGTGTTCACTGGGCAAATTGTGGAAATGCTTGGGTGTTGCATCTAACGTGGATGAATAGCTGTGTTGGGAAGGAGGGGTTGGATAATCCTCATTTCCTGCAGCGCTGCCACTTGGCTGGGAGGAAAGGGCCTGAGCTGGCTGGGCTGGTGGCGCTGCTCCTTGGGTGGGCTGAGGAGGAGGCTGAGAGGACTGCTGGGGCAGCTGCTGCTGTTGCTGCTGGAAGAATGATGGTGGAGGCTGCGAGGTCTGTGGTGTTGGTGGAGTTGAGGTGCCCATGGGAGCCATGCTTGGCTGGTTGGTGATGTTGTGATTAATAAGCTGCTGTTGTTCTGCAATGGAAGGCAGCTTTACTGGGCTGATGGTGGGTGTGGAGGTAACAGGTGTGGGCTGCAGCATTGGACTGCGGTAGAGCTGCTGTTGGTGCATCAGCATGTTCTGCTGCTGCATGGCAGGGCTCTGGACATGCATACCTGCTTGGCTACTCTGCACGATATTCACAACCTGCTGACTGCACTGAGAGGATGGAGGCATATGGCTGTGCCAATCGAATGGCACACTGACAGGACTGACCATGCCCATATTGACCCCAAGCTGGCCAGAGCTCAGCACATAGCTATGGTTGACATCTGAAGCCATAGAGACACGACCCTGCAATGACATTCCTCCAGCTCCAATGTCATTAATTTGGGCAAGCGATACTGCAAACGGGCCCCCTCCTTCCAACATGCTACTGTGTACCATTGGAGTGTTTGGGACAGACATTGAGGAATGGAAAAGAGCTGGTGACTGCATGGCCACAGGTGACGTCGGATTGGTAATGTAGCCAGCATTGCTAGCTCCCCCGTGGGGTGAGTCCAGAGAGTCCACCGGGGACAGAGTAACGGAGCTATCTAATAAAGCACTCTGCATGTCCAGGGTCAGCTTCTTGTTGCGAGCCTTTACAGACTCCTTCAGACTTGCAGCATGCTGGCCTCCCAGGCCAGAACCTTTGGCCCCAGGTCGGCGATTCTTCTTTCCCTGCGGGGTGTTCTTCAGACTGGGGAGGAAGGCGCTTGGAGGACACATGAGTGGGGACAGAGTGTGTCCCCCTGTGAGTTGGTGACCAGCTGCTCCATGGCTCTGTGGACTCCTTACTGTGTTGTATTCATCAAGAAGCTGTACAATGTCGTGATGCATACGCTCAAGAGCAATGTCTCTGGGCAATCTGTCCATGTGATCTGTGATTTCCCTGTTGGCAAAGTGAGCGAGCAACACCTTGACAGCCTCACAGCTGCCTTCGCGGGCGGCAAGGAACAGAGGGGTCTCCTCCTGCAGAAACAGACAACAAGCACTTTGAATTAATAATGTTGTCAAATACAAACATTTGCAGCATGTTTTGTCAAAAACTACCTTAAGATCTTGCATATCTTTGTTGGCTCCATTTTTCAGCAGAGCAATAGTTGCATCAACATTGTTGACAGCTGCAGCCCAGTGCAGAGCAGATTTACCTAGAGAGACATAAACCATTAGGCCAAATATTTTTGTGATAAAATATATTTTATGCAAAAAATTTGAAGATTGTGCACTTACCCAGTTCATCAACTGCATTTACATCTGCATGACAAGTAATAAGCTCCTCAACCATCCCCTCCACTGCCAGCCGTGCAGCCAGGATCAGTGCAGTAGAGCCATCGTACATACGGGAGTCCAGATCAGTGGCTCGATTTCTGATCAGAATCTAGATAAGTGGAAAGAACCATTGTTTATACTGGTGCATTCAGTTTGAGAAAAAGTTTTAGACCTTACTACAGCTGAATACAATGTTTTCAACTGCTTACCTGAAAGACGCCCTGCGCATCTGCAGCCACAGCAGCATGAAGTGGTGTGCGCCCTGTGTTGTCTTGAGCATTAGCGTCTGCCCCGGCATCCAGCAGACGCTTAGCAGCATCGGCGCGTGCATAGCGAGCAGCCAAGTGGAGTGCTGTCTCACCGGTGCGGTCTGTTTGTGCAGCCAGTGATGCACCCTGGTAGATTAAGTCTGAGATAATGTTGGCAGAACACTCTTCACTTTCCTCCTCTTCTGTCACCTCAGGTTCTAGGCCGCCTCCACAAAATGATGCCAGCATCAGAGGTGTGAAACCATCTGGGATGTGAACAAGTCAAAATGAGACCTAATTAGTTTAGTTCAAGACACAATGTGTGAGGAAACTGTACTGTGTATTTAAAAAAATACAGCATGTGCTCTAAAAAGCAAGTTCTATTCCAACCTGGGCCTCGAACATTAACATCCATGCAGTCACTTTCAAATTCTCCTTGAGGTGGTGTGAGGGCCATAGTGGGCGGTACACGAATGTCTGCAGCTGCAAGATGGTGCTGTGTCCACTGTCTACAGTCAACTGCATCTTCACTGTCTGAGAGCACACTTGGCTCCTCAACCTGGATTCATAGAGACATTTGGTAGTATAAATTCTGGTGTCAACTTGAAGTGATGTAAAAGATCTTGATACTGTTGGGAACCTGTGTTACAAACCTTAAGCCGTTTTGCCTCTGGGCAATCTGAGTCCATCCATGGATCACTGTGATCTCCAAGGAGAGATTCCTCAACAGTTTTTGGCATGTGTCTGAATATAAATCAAAAATATTTTAAGCATAAATCAAAGGCAAACCACAAATATTTAAAAATAATTCCTCTGGGATCAAGCAAAGCTTATTGCATTAAAAGCAAACTAAAAAATAGTGTAAGCTCTAGTAAAAAATAACTTACTTTAATCCAAGAGCATCCTGACCCACAGGTTCCCTGCGGTTTTTGTTACTGCTTGGTTCCTTCTTGAGAAAGAAGCCTTCAGGGAACCAGAGGGTGCTGTGTTCACGCTTTCGACGAGTTATTAACATGCCGATAATAATGATGACCAAAACGATAATAGCCGCTAGTCCTGCCCATGCAGGCATCAACTTGTCCCAAGTTGGTGGTACAGGAATCTTTTCCCCTGTTGTGGAACAGGAAAGCTTGGATTTTCATATATACTTCTCATGAGGGTAACCCCTTATTTTTATACTGACTTAAAGTTCCCATTTACCTCGAACTTCTCGAAGGGGATAAGGGAAATCCAGCATATCTGTCACTGATAGGGCGCCCAAATACTCTGCTGCGCTGTCTGCTGAAGGGAAACAGTCCTCTACATCCTGAGAACACAAACGGTTGTCTATCTCCAGATAGACTATGGACCTGCAAAGAGACATAAAATAAGGTGTCTTGTGTATAGAAAATTCTCAAGATTTAGCTCTGATATTAACACTATGTTTTACTAACCCAACAACTTCATGTTGATGTTCGAGTTCTCTCTTAAGGCGTGCCTCTCGACGGGTGTAGGGACGGATCATTGCATCTCCGTTTTGGTCCAACCTGAAGCGTACTGAAGTGTGCAGGATGGCACTCAATTTCTGCAAAAATGTTTTCCCGGTGCGGAGAAGCTTGTCCGGAGGAAGCAGGACAACCAAAACCAAAACACCATCGGCAAGATCTTCTGGAACCTTCTGTGCACAGTCTAAGCCATCCCAACCACACTCCTCTGTGTTGCAACCCTGATCGCACCGACCGTCAGCATAATGGTCATAGCAGTAGTTGGCATATATTGGACTGGAGAAAAAACAAACACATGACTCAGCTTAAGTATTCCATATTAGGTAAAAGTGAAAGTGATCAACTCAATCAGTTAAAACTCACTTGCAGACTTTCTCTTTGCTTCTGCAGTCGAAGTTGTCATACAGACATTCAGCGTTGTTACAGAATTCATCACATTGGCTATTGTTAAAGGCACGCCAACAGCGAGGATCTGTGCAATGAGCCCAGGGATTCATTGCCAGGGAACAGTCGCCACCATCCCAACGACAAGGGAGTGTGTTACATTCCTTGTCACAAACACCATCATTGGCTTTGCCTTGGCAGTCTGCTCTTGGACAGGAGAGAGCAGGAAGCTCAGATTTAGTGCTTTGCTCACAACGTTTCCCCATAAATCCACTTGGACACTGGCAGTGGAAAAATGGGAAACTGGTCTCTTCAGTACAGAGGCCTCCATTCCGACATGGCTTAGAGGAACACCCATCATTACTGTGATGCTGACACTGTGGCCCACCAAAGCCTGGTAAGCATGTGCAGCGCGCCCCCCTTGTGGTAAGAGCACAGCTTCCGCCGTTGTAGCAGGACAGCTCACGACAGGACATGCTCCTCTCACAATTTGGGCCAGTATAACCCTAGACAGAAAAAAATTTCAAGTAAAATATGATTACAACCTTTACATTTCATCCTGGTATTAGCAAATAGCATTAGAAGAAAATGAGATCTGAAAATTTAAAAGAAAAAGAAACTTACAAGTTGACATGTACAGGTGTATCCCAGAGGAGAGCTGCTGGTTACAGAACAGGCACCCCCGTTGTGACAAGGCTGAGATTCACACACACCGAACCTGTTTTGACACCTGCGACCTAAAAACAGTCCATTATTGGTTACGTTTTATCCTACACAAATAGAATGCATTGGAAGGGACGGTTATCTAACCTGTGAATCCAGGCTTGCAGACGCACAGGTAGTCATTGGGTAACTGGATGCAGTCAAGACTGTTGCTGGGACTACAGGGGTTTGAGAGACACTCATTTATGTCTCCTTCACATCTGTCTCCTGTGAAACCAGGAGGACAATTACAGCGATAACCACCAACTCTGTCCACACAGGTTCCGTTGTTGAGGCACTTTGGGGGAGCACCGCGCAACCTCAGCGGTGGAGCACAGTCGTCCTCATTAATCTCACACAGAACACCTTCAAAACAGAAGAGTGTCACACATTCATTATTCAATAAAGGTGTTTTCTATTCAACATTAAAAATATTTTTTTTTGTATTAAGCATAGGTTTCTGTGGCATTTGTGCTTGCATACCCAGTGTGCCGGGGGGACAGGAGCAGATATAATGTCCTACTAGATCAATACAAGTGCCTCCATTCTGGCAAGGATGGGACTGGCACTCATTGATTTCTATCTCACAGTTCTGTCCAGTATAGCCCGGCATGCACTGTAATGACATGACAAGCACGTGATCTTTAAATGTGAGGAAATACAAAGCAGAAATCAAATCTAAATTCTCAACAAAAATTATCTTAGTTAAATCCTAACGTAGAAAAATGTATTAGTGGAAGAGTTGAAGAAGAATCTGACTTACATCGCACTGGTACCCGCCGACATATGACCTGCAGGTGGCACCATTGAGACAAGGTTTGTCTTCACATTGGTCGACTTGAATTTCACAATAGCTCCCAGTGTAGTCAGCAGGGCATTTACAAAAGTGTGTGTTCCCAGTGTTAACACAGTGACCACCGTGGTGGCAGAGCTCATCTGTTTGGATTCCTATTGAAAATTATAAAGGTAAAAATATTAGTTGACTGCATCACGCAGACTCTGGGACATCAGAAATATAGAAAGGTAAAATACCCCGCTGGCGAGCTGCTCTTTCACAGGAGACTCTTGGGACATCGCAGTATCGCCCAGACCAACCACTAGGACAATCACAGATAAAAGACGAATCTTTTTGACGACAGCGTCCTCCATTCTGGCACAGAGACGAGCGTCGGCACCAGTCAACTGGTGTCTGGTAAGCCAAGAGACAGAAAACAGGGACTTTTAAAAATCTGAATATTGAGCCAAGCAAATGCATCTTACAACTCAAGGTTCTAACACTACATTTCAACTGTATTTAGGTTCTTGTACCTGACACCTGTTGCCTGTAAATCCCTTAGGGCAGGAGCAGCGAAAAGACTCTAAGGCATCTTGACAGATGCCTCCATTTAGGCAGGGCTGAGAGTCACACTCATTCACTTCATACTGGCAGTGGGAGCCAGTGAAGCCAGAGCGACAAGTGCATGTATAACCATTGATTTTGTCTGTGCAGGTCCCTCCATTGAAGCAAGAGCTATAGAGATAAAAAAAAAATATGAGTTCAGTGTATTGCTTTTATTAGAAAGAAATATAACATTGTTATTTTAAGCACACACTTACCTTTCAGTACAATCAGGGATGTTGGTTTCACAGTAGATGCCAGTGAAGCCAGGTGGGCAGGTGCATGTGTAAGAGTTAACATAGTCTGTACAAGTTCCTCCATTTTTACAGGGGGAACTTTGACATTCATTGATCTCTACAGCACATCGGGGCCCTGTGAAGCCTGGCAAGCAACTACAATGGAAGGAGTTCACATCATCTGTACAGGAACCTCCATTTAAACATGGGTCTAAAAGGGGAACAGAAGAAATTTTATTTAGTTAAATGGAGTAAATGCACCAGTAATGTGACAGACAGTTGCCGAATGATATTAAATCTACACTGTATGTTTATAATGTCACTTACTGGGAATACAGTCATTGATATCTGTCTCACAAGTGAGCCCAGTAAATCCTGCTCTACAGGAACACACAAAGCCTCCAAGCGTGTTAGTGCAGGTCCCACGGTTTTTGCAGGGGTTTGACATGCATTCATTGACATCTATGTTACACAACTGGCCTGTAGATGCAAAGAATCAATGCAATTAGATTTTCCTCAAATACTACACACAGATTATATCTTGGTAAATTGTAAGAAGCGATGTCATTGAAATGGGTTTTCTTACCTTGCCAGCCTGGTTGACAGTTGCACTGATAACCCAGGTAGTCTGGGGTGTGGGTGCACACTGCATGATTGGCACAGGGGTTAGGGAAGCAAGGTGTGAGGACCTCAGCACAAGTAGGTCCGCTATAGGGAAGCTCACACAGACATGTGAAACTTGCGACACCATCCACACAAGTTCCCTTATTCAGGCATGGACTGGAAGCACATTCATTGATGTTAACCTGGCAGAGATTACCTGTAAACAGAATCGACAAAATAGTAACAGGGTATAGAACTTCTTGTGCTAGATGTATCTGCATATTTTTTTTAACCACTAGGGGGAGCCAGTCAATCACAACTGGATAGTTTGTTTTAGGCTTGCTTGGCTCTCACCTTTGAACCCTTGACGACACTTGCAGGTAAATCCATTGAGCTGATCAATGCATGTTCCAGCATTTTGACAAGGACTTGGTAAACAGTCATTTCTGTCTAAGTCACAGTTCTTTCCAACCCAACCAGGTTCACAGTCACAACGGTATCTGAAAGCACAGTCATACAATCAGAAAGGCTATGATACAAGTTTATAAAGAGAGAGCTAAGAGAATGGGGAACTTACTGATAAATTACTTTTCATAATAAAAGGATTAACATATATAAAAAGCCAAGTGAAAGATACATTTTTCAAATACCAAATTTATATAAAAATTTTGCGAGCCTGTTTTTTGTCTTTTCCATGAATCTTGTTTATTCAGCTTTAAATATTAACATTATTATATTTTTTAGGTCTAATGATTCACACATTTGATTGTAAATTTGTAGCTCTAGTACCATAACTGTGACTGGTAATCAGATTTTTCAAAATAAATGCCTATTGGTTTTTGTTTTTTTTAAAGGTGGCTTTTCTTGCTGACTTCATAAGCATTTTCACGTTCAGACCATTCAGATTACCTAAACACACCCCCAGACGTCCCAAAACAACTCTGTTGTAAGCGCTTAAAAAGTAAAGTGTGGCAAACTGTTCATACCCATTTATGTCCTCTCTACAGGAGCCGTGGACACATGGGCTGCTGCCACACTCATCCACCTGGGAGTAACAGTAAGGGGGCTTAAAGCCTTCAGGACACTGGCAGTGAAATCCATTTTCTTCATCAACACACGTTCCCCCATTTCTACAGGGGCTAGATGCACACTCATCAATCTCCACATCACATTTAGGACCTGGATTTAGAGACATCAGACACAGTTAGTATCTCCAGTATAAAATCATTTTTCAAGCTTTTTTTTTTAATGAAATGTGTGGCTTTAGGTCGCGACAGACTTACCTGTAAAGCCAGGTTTGCAAACACAGTCATAACGGTTGATTCCATCTTTGCAGATCCCATAATCACATGGGTTGCTGGCACAATCATCAAAGTTTATCTCGCAGTTGGTACCTGGAAGTAGAAAGGGGTTTTACATTATTCTATGAGAGAAATCAATATTTAAACAAAGCAATAATGTATGTATTAGAACATTCGTAGAACTTGTCGAATAGATTGTTTGTTTATAAAGTCGTTTGCTCTACCTGAAGTTCCATGCTGGCACTGACAGATGTACTTATTGACCCTGTCCACACACTTGCCCCCATTCTGACAAGGATTGCTGTGGCACTCATTAAGCTGGTTCTCACAGCGATAGCCTGTGTATCCAGGATCACAATTACACGTGTAGCTAGCAATGCCATCAATGCAGGTACCATGGTGGCAGGGGTCAGGTTGACAGTTGTTGATATTACTCTCACAGAGTCTCCCTTCATAACCTAAACGGGAAAGATGCATACACAAAAAATCATTAGTTCTGAATGTCAATAATTACCATTGTTGTCTTTTTTTCCCTCCTCCTTTAACATTTATCAACCAGTTCGTAGAAATTTTTCATATTTATTTATTTATTTCTCTTTCTTTTTACTTTTTAAAGCCTGAATCTTGTTATCTCACTGCTATGGTGTACAATTTACCATGTTTTTTGTTTTCACACCACCCAACTGTTGGTTTGTAAATGTGTATGGAGTAAAATGTTAAGTTGACCAAAGCAATAAAAAAAGGGCCTCTCAGTCCCTCTGGCTTTGTTCTCGGTGGTCCAGAGAACAATAGACAGCACCATGTCAAACAGAGCCACTTCACTCAACAGAAGGGGCCCACAAACACAGAGAATACCAAGCAGCTGGCCATTGAAACAATGAAGCAGGCTCCTTCATTGGCATAGGTACAAACAAACATATTTAATATCCAGACATAGTCAGTCAGCTTACACAGACAAATTTTCTGACTAAATATATTTGTTACTGTACTGCGTTATAGTTTTGTGTCTTAAACCATAGATATGACCAATTGCAAAGGGTTTAATGTTAAAATGCAACATAAGGTGTAAGGGATTCTAAGGAATGAACAGATGTCGGGGTGATGACCAAGTCTCTTTTCTTAGAAACTGCTAGTCCACTGTGACCCCATGATGCTGACAGCCAATGAGGGAAAAATGGGGATTAGGGGCCACTTGGCCAGCAGACACCCAAAGAGATAATTCACCCCGCAAACAATGAATGCTTATTAAACACCAAATAACTGGTTAAGGATCATCTGCTCCACCGTCTGCCAAGACAGTGGTTTGTGTAGCGCTAACACCTATCTACTGACAAATATTAGGTATAAAAGTGCTTACCTTCAGCGCATCGGCACTCAAACCCATTAGGCCGGTCATAGCATTTTGCTCCATTCTGGCAGGGAGTGCTAGCACACTCATCTATGTCAATTTGACACATGGTGCCAGTAAACCCTGGGACATGCAAACACAAAGGTTAAGGGTCAGACAGACGGTCCAGTGAAAGGGTCCATGCATAGGTTAGAGGGCAGTTGATAGAGGCCTGTAGTTAAATTGGTCATGTCTGGCTAAGGGAGGTTTAAATGCTTATTTTTGGTTAAGGACAGTTCTAAAATAACAGTCAAATCAATATAGTTTCAATGATCTATCCATTGAGCTATTATTTTAATATGATTACAGGAACAATACACATTTAATAATAATGATAAAGATAATATAAATATAATGATAACAACAATGACACTATTGAAATAATGTAATAATCAGAAGAAGAAGAACAACAAGAATAATAAGAAGAACAATAACAAGAATACAACATGTAACAATTAAAGGGTCTTCTTTTAGAGAACTGGACAAGCTTGAAATCTTTGAGCACATTGGCAATTAATAAGTGAATTGGTGCATTGGTAACACCGTTGTCCCATAGATTAACAGTGTCAAAATGGTTTCTGTGTTTTGGTGCATGAGTTACTAAAGGGGTGTTTAGAGGAGACAGTGGGATTGTTGTTTTTTTTTTTTTTCGTTTTGGGACCCCAAAACCTCCTCCTTTACTTCTTGCTTCAGCTCCACTGTCTCAATAGCTAGATAGGGGGTGAAAGGGGGGGGGACGTCTGTCCCAGATGTAAATTGTGGACCTGGAAAAGAATCTCATTAGCAGAACTGCTGTCCCCCCTTAGCAGCACTACCAGGGCAGGATGAGGGAGAGCTGTCCCTTCCAAATTCCACAGAGGAGGGAAGCAGGGGTCACAATAGTCCCTTTGTTCAGGCAGGAGGATCGGCAGTCTTTAGAACCAGCCTTTTTATATGAGTCGTGGCTGTGTATACCAGCAGACAGTAGTGTATAGCCGATTGGTAATTTGTTTTTACATATATTCCAGTTTCACTATTTGCTTTAATCTGAATTAGAAAAAAGAAAAAAAAAACCTACACAAACCTAAAGAGAAGCAACTCAAAGCATTTGAGCAAATCCTACCTGGCTGGCAGGTGCATGTGAAGCCATTGACCATGTCCCGACAGATGCCATCATTTACACATGGGTTGCTCTCACAGTCATCAATATCAATTTCACAGAAAGTCCCCATGTAGCCTGAAAGAAAGTTCAACTGTATTACTTATTATTGCCACAAATTCCGCACAAACGTAAAAGTAGGTCTTAGTAAGAAAGTAACGGATGCTTCCTGATTTGAACTTGAGGTACGATCTCAGAGAAACCTTTTTGGGGAATCTTTATTACACGTCTCTTGAATCATAAGATAAAGCAAAATATCTCGCAACCATTCTGTTTGGTGCCACTTCACTAACCATGAATCATCACACCCTACTAGCTATAAAAAAGCCCCCTCTGTGGTTCAATGTCAGATACATGTTATAGATTTTATGTTGGCTAACTATGGAGGGCAACTCCTTTGAGATGAAACAGAATGCCAGTGAAAGTGTTGCCCCTGGGGAGAGGCTAGCGTGGAATCAGAAATAATCAGAAGCTCCACATGAGCTTTGCCAGGCTGACGATGAGAACGGTGATGAGGAAGGTCCTGTCTCTGGAAATGAAGGTGGGGGTAGGGGGTGGGCTCTGGGAAAAAGCCTCTTTCCCTCACCGTGTCTATGAGGGGCGCAAAGTGGAGCACAGAGGGGCCCTATTGTTCCACTCCATTCCCACCACTCTACCTCTCATTAGTATTCACAGCACACTCCTCCCCCTAACTGTTTGCCCTCTCTCACATCCAGTCCTATAGACCAAACTCCCAACTCTAATTTGTATAGCACCAAAGACCCCAGGACATACATGTAGGACTGTGAGTGTAATCTTGACTGTGTTTTGGGGTACAAATGAAAACTTCATACAAACTCATTCCCAATGGGATTAGAGTATGGTACATAGAGCAGAGAAGCAACTGAAACCTTGATGTCTTTCCAAGGAACTGTGTTACATAGCAGTCTATGGTTGAACCTTATATGGCAGAACTACAGATGATGTTTAAGGTCAAGTTTAACAACATTGTTCCACTAAATTGACATATACTAATTGTCAATCAAAAATATTTTTGGTCAGATTTCTAAAACTGGTAAGTTTTATCAAAATAAATAATGACAAAATAAAAGAGTTAGCAAAAATGACGGCTGTGGGTAAACAAAGAAAAAGTTAGTATATCAATAAAGGGCAGTATACAAATAACATCTCAATAAACATAAAGTTTATTATTCTACCTGGCATGCAAATGCATGTGAACTCTCCAATGCGGTCCAAACAGGTGGCATCATTCTGACAGGGCATGGAAAGGCATTCATTGATGTCGATTTCACAACGTGGGCCAGCATAGCCGCGACCACACTGACACTGGAAAGATCCCTCAGTGTTTACACATTTTCCAAAATGCTCACATGGGTTTGCACCTGTTATCAGAAGGCTGAGGATCAGTAACTTAAACACATTTTGTGCAACCACAAAGCTAAAGCTTGAAAAACGAACAAACAATAAAAAAGATTTAGCAGCACTTACCAATAGAACATTCATCCATGTCCTGGTTGCAGGCACCGCCGACAAAGCCAGCAGGACAGGTGCAAATGGCACGGCCATTAAGGGGGTTGGTGTCACACACGGCCCCCTCGTTGCAAGGGTTACTCACACATGCATCATCCAGATGACAAAGCAGTCCTTTGCAAACAGCAAAATTAGACAAGTTGTTGATTTATTCAGCTCCCACTATTACAACAAAAGCAGGTACAAAATTCTGTAGCGCAGCATACCTGTCTTCCCAACTGGACACTCGCAGAAAAAGGATGCCACACGGTCATGGCATGTGGCACCATTGAAACAAACAGCTATTGCACAGTCATCAATGTTCTCACTACAGTCATCTCCAGTCCAACCATTGACACAGACACAGGTATGACCACCTATAGTGTTGAAGCAAGTGCCTCCATTGTGGCATGCATTGGGTTGCATGAGACACTCATTGACATCTTCAGCACAATATTGTCCTACAGAGGAAAAGTAACACATTAGTTCAAATATCTTCATAGTTTGTAAACAATACTTTTTAAGTGTATTATCTCATAAAGATGTACCTGTCCATTCTGGTGGGCACTGGCAGTTGTATGTATTCACGCCGTCCACACATTTCCCTCCGTTCATACACTTGTGACCTGGACAGTCGTCCACATTATTCTCACAGTTGTGTCCCTCAAAGCCTAAAACAGAATGCACAGAACCAAATTAGGGCACAGACATGGCCAAACACTGCAGCTAAGAGTTTATCTAGTATTGTGTGTCAGGTTATAAATATACTGAGCAATTCTACTATTGGCCGAAAGTTAAATTTCCCACAGAAGAGAAGGTAAAAGAAATTGTTGGTAATAAAAGAGTTCAGAAGGTGAATGAATGTTTACATTAAAATTGGATTTTTCCCACACAATGGCAGCTACAGGAGTAATGCCTTGCTCCTTCAGAGGTCTGCCCTCCCCTCCATGTTTGCTTGTTTTGTAATCTCTCACAGTTTCAATGACTTCCTCTCTGGCAGGAGACATTTCCTGTCAAGTCCCCAGTGGGAAACCAGAAAGCTCATAAAGTAAATTCCTTCTGTTTTGAAAAGGGTTGAGTGGAGAAGAGTGCAGACATGTTGCCTCTTCCACTCCCCATTACCCCATCTACCTTCAGAAGTTATTATTTGTTGAAGGGAAGCATGCATGAGACATGGTATAAAGTACTGTGCAACAGTTCTACTAACAAGATTACAAGTATATAGAATTTTTTAAGTCTAGCACCCTGCAAAAGTGAAAAAACAAACAAACAAAGCAAAACAGATATAACCTGAGTGATTTTGTATGTTGTACCTGGAAGGCAAGCACATTCATAGGAATGATCGCCTATCTGGCGACATGTGCCACCATTGAGACACTGAGACGGGGCACAGGGCAGGGTGGACACCTCACACGTACGGCCGCTGTACCCTGGCGGACACTGGCATCGGAAGGACCCAACCGTGTTGTGACAGAGACCCCCATTGAGACAAACACCAGGTTTGCGACACTCGTCAATGTCATTGCGACAGTTCTTTCCCTGGAAACCAGGGGGGCAGGAACAGTTGTAATGGTTATTCCAATTGACACAACGGGCTCCATTTGCACATGGACTTGTGGCACAAGCATCGATTAGGGAGCAGTCTTGACCTGAGGGTCATAGAAAAGGATTCAGTCAAACAAACATACATTTCTTATATTAAATTGTTCTAACGATGACTCTTACCTCTAAACCCTCTTTGGCACACACATTTGTACTGCGGGATACCATTAACCACATCACTCTTGCAAGCTGCCCCGTTCAGACATGGTGAGCGATGACAGGGATCCAGTTGCTTACAGAAAGGGCCGATGAATCCAGGGCGACAGCTGTACAAATAAATTTAAACAAATATAATCTTGATTTAAAATATGCTGAAGATCAGGTAATTCTGCCTCTTTGAAGCCTTGGAGAGGTTTAATACTTTTTTCACACACTCAGCAATGACCCACAGTCCAGGAATAATTTTCCATTTACTACACAAATACACAACATGCCATACATTACCCCTAAATGACCACCTAAATCAAAATAAAACACTTAAATGGAAAGGAGAATTTCTGGCGGTATTAGTGAGTTTTTTAGGATAAATCTGTTACTCCAAAAGAGAGGGATTCATTTTCTCTACAACATCCAGTGTTCCTCCACTGTGTCATGTTTTCCAGATTATAGCTTTTACATTTTCCCAGACGGAAAGAACAAACACCCACAAACTGACACACACACGCTGAAACAGCAGCCTAGAAAGCTAAATAAAGTCTACATAAATATTGATGAATCATATCCAGTACCAAGTGATGCCCATTTGAAACACTGTAGGTAAGTGAGCTATATCTGTCAAATTTCCTCATTACATCTGCATCTACTTGACCAAATGCTTTTAATAAATGGCAAACATCTAAAGAGGTTTTGTATAAACATTTTATTGGTTTTGATAGCCGTGCTATTGCCTAAAAAAGGATTTGATCACGCCAAACATGGCTAGGCAATTCTTATTCTGCACAAACTCTGCATGGACAAATTGGAAAAGCTGCTCCTTGAGTAGGTAAATTTCGTAAAACTGAAACAGGAACATTATATTTGGGAGGCATGATTTTCTTTATCTTATGGGAGAGCTGCATGAATACTCAATCTCAGTCATCACAATATCAGTAAAATATTTAAATTGCTAGGAACTGCAAGCATTGATTATTCTGTGGGACTCTAAATAGTGAGTGCCATGCACTCACACTCTGCATATCTATACCATATTTGACCAGTTGAAAGCACTCCAACTTCACTTGATGACAACACCTATTGTTATTTTTTATTGGCTGAGATTCTGATATCAATGTACACTAGAGTGGACATTGTATCATAGTAAAGACATAAAAGATCAGCAAAACAAAATTTATTTACTTTAAACAATATCTTCAAAACATTATTTAGCAGTACTATCATCTGGCAAATATTTTGCATCCCAACTCTATCGTCATCTATAATATTCTGACTGGACGCGGTTTGTCGAACAAACATTTTTTTTACTCTTTTATAGGGTGAGCTACGGTTGAATTGAATCGAAAAATGATGTAAATGCCATAATATTGCTTAAAACAGCTTCAATGTTAACAATTACCATTACAATAACTTATTTTTTCACCTTCCGTATTTCAGCAAATCCTCCACTGAAATACATTGGAACATTAATGGCAGTCAAATGCACTCTGCCTGAGATACAAAATTGTACAAAATATTACAGAATAAAGGATTGTGATATTGCTCACTCTGACAAATGTGATGACAGCTCCATTTTTTAAATTGTACAGCCATATTACCTGCATTACTAAACTAGTAACCTTTAATTTCTGTATGTTGCTATAAATTTGTAAGTACTAAATAAGTAAAATGCTGTTATCTAACGTGGGTAGACTGAAATTCTTTAAAGTTGTTCTGAAGAGCACATGGCCTTTAATGGAAATAACTGTCGACAATCAATCAATTATGCAAGAAATCAGCAGTGAAAATTTTAATGTGTGATTTTATTCTAAGATAAACAAATGCCTTGGAAATTAAAAGCATTCAACAAGGATCTTCCCAGGCAAGCAGTAAAGCGTTGATATTTAGTTGGGCAGTTAAAATGAAGCTGCACACAAGTATTCTGGCTTAGAAAAAGGGTCTGCACAGACACCACAGCGTCTCTTCCCTCCTGTGAATTCCCTCTGAACACCAGCTTGACTTTCCTTTCCACAACTCCCTCCTCTCACGCGCTGAGAGGTCAAATGTCAGAGGGCCTCTGTCTCATTGTGATGATAATGTCACTCAAGCTGCAGAGTGTGGCGTGGTTCTGTTAGGCAGGAGAAATTGCCTTTTATAAGATGCAATTGGTGGTAAGAAAGACTTAGAGGAAAAGAGAGTGGTCTGGTCCAGCAGGAATGTCATGTCATATTTCCTGTAATCCCTGGTTCCTTGTTCGGAAAACATGGCACTCACTCTGAGTGCACAATTGCTGTTGCCCTAGCAACCACACAGACGAACAAGTGAGCCTGATACGCAACCAATCTCTTTCTCCCCACCCTTCGTCCCCATGGCTATTTGTCATGGCTTGGCTGGGTTTATTTGAAGGCAAATTAACTATGTCTGGAATCTGGAATTTTACAAAAATGAAGCATAAATGTATCATAAAGAGAGCCTCGGAAGTACCAAACAGGAAAGCTACTTAAAGATCCAAAACAATAAAGACTGTGATGTTCCTCTAAAATCTTTATGCGGTATAGATTGTTAGATAAAGACATAGACAATACATCAGCCAGCTGATACTTTGGGTCAATATTAAGGCTCATCCTTTTTCTGTCCATAGTTAATGTTTTGTGTTATTTATAGTTAAATGTTTTAACTGTACTTGCATAATATTTATCATCATTGCATCATTTTTACAAGGGGGAAAAAAAAAAACAATATCGGCTCCAAGAACTGGCCTCAAAAAGTGGCAGCCTTTTTTGAGGATTGGTTAGACTAATGTCAAAATTATTGGAATTAGCATCAGTCTTTAAAAAAAACTTTATTGGATGGCCTCTAGTTGGATGTACATAAAATTAAAACAATGCAGCTTAAAAATGATCAATTTGTTGTTCCCAGTCTTAAATAACCATGAAGGACCTCTGGGCACAAAAACTCAACAACTGACCCCAGAAGAACTCAGAATGTCAATGCACACTGATAAACTTGAAAATATTAGGTTAGGTGGGTTAAAGGAAAATCTCTGTACTGTGAGAATGAAGTGCATCGGTATGTATTTGTGTCTACTCTAGGTGACATGATTGCATGAATTTGTGTGTGTGGGTCTACAAAAATAAAGACAGCAGTCACGCCCGATAAATTATTTGTCCTCCCTTAAAGATGCAGCCAAAACACACATTCTTTTGTCTAGACCTGATTCAATGCCAACACGGTACTCCCATAACACAACAGTGTTATCAGAGCCCAGAATGTAAGACATGCTACTTCCCTCTCATTTATGTTTATACCGCTATAACAAATACGCCATTCAAGCCCCCTTAACCTTGTGGATTCCATGGTAATGAAAACAGCAGCCCTGGATCGAAGCTTTTGTCTTTCTACATTTTTGAACCAGATCTTTGCAACAGGTGCAGGACTGCTATTGTGCAACAGGCCATTTAGTCATACTTTCGACTTGCCAACATCTGACCTTTGAGGAAGCAAATACAGCAGATGGGGGTCACTAAGTGCAGCGTGGTGATGGCCAGGATGGGTAATCTCTCCGTGTCAAGGAATATGATTGCTCTTGCCAGCTGCAATCCTGCCATCTGTCCATATCTGTCAGAGCACCTCTGGGTGTCTGATATTTACATCTCTGGCCTAACGTTAAGCCAAAACAACTGGGCTATTTTGCCCATGGGACTAGAGCATTAACTCATACACATAGCTGCAAACGCAGGAAATATGGTCTTTCTTCACATTTACATGCAATGGCTGTTCTAGAATATTGACATTTTTAAGACTCACAAATAAAATTGCACTGCAACACGGTAAAAACATGCAACACGCAATACACACTCAAACACAAAGAGGAGGAAACTTACAAGGCTCGGCCCCTGAGGAACACGAATGCTTAAAAGAGATGACCCTCTGAGAAAATTATGGAAGAAGAAAGATTTTAAAAAAGGATGAGACATTGTTATCTAGTCTGGCAACATGTTTGCAGCAATTCTTCAATTTGTTTTTTGTTTTTCAAACATAGACACCATCCATCCATAAGGCTTTGGTTTATGTGAGTGACTTCTATCACCTCTGTATGTGTAATACAATGCTAATTTTCCTGCTTTCTGGTTCACTTGAGCAGAGCAACCTGAGCTCATCCTCTTTCAAACAATAGTAGCTGTTCTCCAAGAGGTCAGAGGGTGGCTCACCTGTGAACAAAGAGGCAGTAATCTTCTACATGCTTCATACACACAGTCATGCTCCACAAGGTAAAATGTATAAAGGTGAAAAAGAAGCAACAAAACTATGTTTTGACTTAGAGCAATGTTTCAAGTTGTCCACTGGATGAGTGGAAGTGATGAATGTTTTGTAAATCATTCTACAAGTGCTAGAAAGAAGCGGCAGTCTGTCTCATTTTCCCAAAGCAGCCTTCTTTCCCACCATTCTTTCCACAAGCAAGCAGGAACTGGCTGCTCTCCTTTATAAGAGTCCATACTGACACCACACTGCCAACAAGAACCCATGGCTACCCCCTCCCTCCAGCAGTCTCCTCTGCTTGCCTCCTCTCAGCTTAACTCTCTCTTCTTCAGCATAGATCCAGATTGGGGGTTGGGAATGTTTTGTGGCCCAAATAAAAGACCCAAAGTAGTCAGAAACCCTTTGTATAAAAGTGTTGGGGGCCGTCGCTGTGCAAGGGGGGTGCAGTGACCCAAACAGCTAGTCTTTAAAGGCCTCAGCCGTAGCCTGGCAACAGTAACCCATGGTGAGACAGGGCCAGAATTAAAAAAAGGGGGTGATGAGAGGCAGGGTTTTATAAGGACAGTTGGAGCTGTTAAGAGGAGTGGTCCATGGCTATATGCAGGTAGCCCCTCTGCAGAATATCTGAGACAGTTTTGTATTATAATAAAGCAGTCATATCCAAAAGCCCGTCTGTTTGTGTTTTACAGAAAAGATAACTATATTTGTTTAAACACTTGTGTTTACATGCACACTGAAGTGATCCCTAGAGAGACTCTAATTAATCCAAAGAATACGAGTGTAGCACATGTGGCTACAAGAACTTTTCCTTCTTTTTGTATCCTTATAGACCACTCAACATGTATGAGGGTTAAAAAATTCTAAGCAGATGCCAGAAAGTTTGGCGAACACTAAGGATTTATCCATCAAAGTAAAGTAAAACACTGTACTGTTGAGTGCTCAACACAACTGCTATGTAAAGATCCAACACATGGTTGCAATTTCATTACCTTACTGCACCATCTTTAAAAATGTGAAGCCAAAGTCAATTTGGAAGAGTCCATCATCACATTTTTCAAATAGCAATGTATTTGCCCATAACCACATTGCATGAATCCTAGAGTTGAGGTCCTTTCAAGCGTTCTCCACTGGAATCATCTACGCAACCCCACCCACCTAAACCAAAACAGATTTTTGTTCTACTTTGAAACTTGGAGGACCCCATGCCTGCATTAAAGCCTTTTAAAATTATATTAGTTTTACCATAACAACTCAAATACAAATGTATATGTATTAAAGCTCTTATTTTTTTCTCACTTTACAAGAAAACCTTCTACACATTCAAAGAGGAATAAATAGAGACACAACAACATCTGATAAGCCACACTCCAGTCTTAAACCTGTTGACAGAAACGGTCCTGCTGATTGACTGAGGCCAGCACAGCCTCTCACATGCTTATAGTCTTGAAAGACATGAAGTTTGGTTATGGGGCACTGGCAAAGGTTCTTAATGATAAGCTAAAGAAATCAGCCAGAGAATGTTTACTATCTCAAGAGCTGTCACCCAAAGAAGTTCTGGTGATGTGTGTATGTGCGTGTCAATAAAGGGAGACAAGTTTTATAAAAATGGAACAGATTAGAGCAGAATAGTAAGGGTTTTCTTCACTGTGCAGCTCCAAAAATTAGAACTGTTAGTAGAACCTCTGCTTGTTTAACACTGAATGCCTTTTTCCTGAAACATTAAGAGGTGGACCTCTCCCTTAAGGGAGGGGAAGACTGGATAAATAGACTAATTCTAATCAAAGCTGTCTGAGTTTCTTTAAAGAATTGTTTTTATTTCAGAAAAGAACAAAGACCTAGTGGATCAGACTTCCTATGTAGGCTTATTCCTATATAGGCAAGAAGTCCCACATATTGACACAATTGGGAATATTACATAGATCGTCACTGGGTCTTCTCAAACAAGTACAACGTAATGGAAAATAGAATTAGCGTAATAAGTATTACTTTCAGCAGATGTAGGATTAATCATGTTTTCTTATTACCTCTATCATAAAAGAGGATGCGGACAGACCTACAGTGTCTTGCTACAACGTAAGAAAAAGGAAGAGATGAAACCGAGCAAAATTAAATAAAAAAGAACTTAGTTCACTGAGTAAGCTGCTTAGGGTTCTGAGATAAGACAGGATGTGTGTCGCAGGGAGGTCAGAAGGCACCACTTCCTTGACAGGGCCTGGGAACCAAAGCTCCCCATCTTCAAACACAACTCAGAGAGAAGACATGTTAAGAGGCTGGGACAGAACTCATCTGAAGGATGATGCCATTTCAATCTTTTCAGTCTGCAATAAATCATTTTTCTTGGGTAATGGCATTACAATGGATCCATCTGCCTACCAGGGCTCTATTAGCGGTGGGAACATTGAATTTCTTTACAAAATTGCCAAGTAACTAATTGCAAATCAAACAACTTATACCAAAACATCTAATTTTCAAAGAGCCCAGGCTACCGGTATTGTTAAAGGCATTCCTGAAGGGGCAAACAGGGTAAAAGGAGGGGGAGATAGAGACAATAACCTGAAAGCACCAGAGGGAGAGGAGGAATCTTCCTCACTAAGCATTCCTTTCTAATCCACCATAAAGATGGCAAAGAAAACACTAGCCCTGAGGTGCCGTGAACTAAGCTAACAATATAATCTGTCTCGTTGCTATAGACTTTTTCTAAATACAAGTCCTGGCATGTTAGTTTAATTCTATTGATTGATGAAAAATGCCTTTTAACTGTATTGTTAGAAAAAATAAGGCTTTTTATTGTTACATTTATACTCTTCAATGTAAACTTTAAGTTTACATTCTGATGCTTATTTTCAAGGAAGATAAATACAGAACAAAAAAAGTTTTAGATGTTTTAAAAGAGAAACAGCACTTAAAATTGTCTAGCCAGTCTGTTCCTTATCAAAATCAAAAGTCCTCTTGTATCGTGCTTTAAGTGGGTGGGAGTTGCTATGGGGCCGTGACAAAGCACTGACTAATTATTTGCTGTCTCTGCTTCTGACGCCAAGGGTAAAAAAATTTGTAAAATCAAGAGGTCAGTGGTATCTATGGGTCAGAGCTGGAAGAAATGGATTTTAAGTCAGTTTTGTAGATTTGTGAGGAAAGCTGTGATCTGATTCTGCGCCCAAAGCCAGGAGATGAGAAGTACTTTGTGGTCCAACGTGCAGTTAGAAAGAAATTGTGGGAGAGGCAACATGTGCTACAGGGTCTGTAGACTACCAGCATCATTCCTCCACAAGCTTGTCTCTCACAGTATGGGGGCGACTGACTGCTCAATGGTAGCACCTGGCCCTGTGCTTTCCCTTTGTCAAGATCTGACTCCACTGGATTACCATCACAACATCCACCAGCTGTCCTATATGCAGCCCCACCCGCCCACTACCTCCTCCATCCCACTCAGCCTTCCTCTAGCCACCCCCCCAGTTCAATCCCTCCAGCTGGATCCTCTCTGAATGACACCCTCTCGATCTGCCTAATTATTACTCCTTCTGCAATGCCACAGTGGCCCTCTTTAAACAGCCTTCCCAGTAGAGTTGAGGGCCAATGGCTCTTCAGTCCGACTTTCTGACCGCTCACCTTGAAGGCCACACATGACACCACTAGCCTTTCACTGTCAAGTTCAACAATATAAGATACTGAAGGATCGAATAATGAGGAAACGTGGGGTCGGGGTGGGGGGTTATGCATTTGTCAGCAAAGTAAGTCTTACTATCTTTTATTTCAGTGTTTGTAAGTTGAGCTATGAAGTTTACTTACATACATACTTACATACAAACAGAAGAACATTGGTTTAAGATTATTTCTCAGCTAATTTGACCTTAGGTGGACACTCCAAACTATCAGTCTGTTTTGATCTGCAGACCTTTCTGTAGTTTAAAACAGTATAAAGGGTCATCATATTATATCCACATTGGCTTTCACTGAAAAACACTATAACATGGGATTGGAAAGGACAAAACAAAAAAAACAAAAAAAACAAAACAACAACAACAAAAAACAGGGTAACTGAAAGAAAATCATTTTACACAAAGATAATTATCTTATTAAAGTATTTGTTGGCATCTAAACGGTGGATGTGTCTGAGACAACAACAATGGCACCTGCAGTAATGTGTGAAGTTCTGTTGTAGTTGTATACTTGTATCTGTTGATATTCTATTGTTTGCAAAAAGCTGAAGGCTGAATCTGCTTTATGTTTTCATTTAACTTCAGATTGCTCTAGTTTTTGCTGTGGCCTTTCTTCTTCCATCCCTTCACCCTGTGCTGCAGTGCCAGGTTACAGTCAGGTATCTGGGGGAAGAAAGGATCTTTTCTGTTGATCTGCATCTCCCCTTACAGTAGGCTCCCATGGGAAGGGGTGGGGTGTCTCCCCCACTCATAGGACTGGTCTGACCAATCTCATGTGTCCATGCTCTGCTCCACTGCTCTGCACAGCTACGGGAGTTTTCTAGAGTCCGATATTTAATGTCTCGCTCCATTAGAAATTCTTTGCCCTAAATTTCACTCTTTAACACAGCACAATCACTTTGAGTGTTAATCATTCAATGAGTTGACATTTGTGAATGTACTCAAGAAAAAAATCTGTTAAGATAAAATTGCACAGCAACTAAATTATACTAAATTCTCTCAGCTATGGGTAATGATTGATAAAATGAGGGTAGTGGTTAGTTGTTCACATGCAGCCAGGTTATACATTGGCCAGTATTGAATGACTACTATAGGCAAGATAAAAACTTGTCAAAACTATAGACTGCAATAAAATACATGGCTTTGAGCAACTATGACCCCTCTTACTGGATAAACAAGTAAATACTAACCAAAAAATACATTCATTGATGGAGGGAAGCAGCAGGGAGACCCAGGAATTATTTTCTACCACTGTATCTCCATCTGAAACATTCAATACTTCCTAAACTAAGGAGCAAAAAAGAAGGGCCAATGACCCCCTGGCAAAACACTGTAGGCTATTTCACTTAACTATTGTAAGAGGCTCACAAACACCCCCACCCTCCCCATCTGAAAAAACAAAAGCCTTATCATTGTCAGGAGATCCAAGAGCTCACCAGAGCATGGAGCGGGAAACGAAGACAATTCAACAAAAAGTTCAAAAAGCTTTCAAGCAAACTCATTATAATAGCAGACAATAAAAACACCATCATCCAAGAAAAACTGGGAGGGAGGAGAAAAAAAGAACTTGTAATTTGTTTTTTCCCCTAAGCCCTTTTAACAGGTGCAAAAGATGAATCTTGATGCTAATTAGTAAATCCTAATAGATTATTTGGACCATAAAGACAGAAAAAAACAAAAAACAGAATAAAACAAAATTAGTAGGTTTTTAAACTGCCTGACAAAAACTGACTCCATTCTCACACAATCACAACCTGCAATTTTGGGGGCTTATCATCTATTATGTGATGGTGTCTGTGTTATATGTTACTTACATGCATCGAGATGGGGAATCTATGCATGTTCCTCCATTTTCACAGGGCTTGTATTTATCCACACAGCGGAACCCTGTGGAATTTCAGGAAATTTGTTATTAAAAAAAAAGACACCAAACTAATAAAACTTCATTCCATCCAGCTCAGCTTTCAATAAAACCTCTTTCCAAGCTAAATCTAATAAAAAGAAAAACACAGATGTTTTTTTTCTTTCATCAAAGAAAAAAATGATGGAGCCAAAGATTCAGATCACATATGATTTCAAATTGAGACATTTCTTCAAAACACATAAAACTTTACTGTTACTTGACAGCACTACAAACTAACAATAAAAGTTTGAGTTCTTTAAACATATAATTATTCATATTTAACAGGCATTACTTAGAGCTATAAAATCTATTTAAATGGCCTGTTAAACCCACCTCCTGTACAATTAGGGTTTAGAGGCGCAGCATGGATAATAGACTAATGCCTTGATTTACTACAGAAAAAAAGTACTTTTCTTTAAGGCTTTAAGATCCGTTAGAGTGCAATTAAAAAGATTTTGGCATGAACAATCCCCATGCTATTCCCTTTTGCAATTCTGTTTATTTCAAGTGATTAAAGGAAAAGCATAATTAAGTAAATTAAATGTTAATGAAACGCACAGATTTTATAAATAGTCCCTAAACTATATTAATTAATAATAATTAATATATTTTTTTAAATCAGTTAGATAAAGAATAATGGATGTATCCTATAATGGGGGCCCCCGGGCAGCTGCCCTAACATGCCCAGGGTACCTGTGGATTTAGACAATGAGTGCTGCTAATTAAAGAGTTTTACTCACCTTCACCAATATGCATGCACAATAAAAAGAACAAAATAATCCATTGCATATTCCCTTCCATTTCTGTGGAAAACTTTCCAAAGTTTCGAAGAGCGCTTTTATTAGAAATACATCCTCTGTTTGATTTACAAGAAAAAAAAGTAAGCCTCCAAAATGTTTCGGTAAGTCAGCCGGGAAGCGAAGCGTCGTCCCAATCCCGTAATATCCTCCGTAGCACGGCCACGGGTGCTGTGATTCTCCTCTCACCTCCTGAAACTTTGAAAAACTTTTGCTTCTTTTCTGATTTCCAACGTCTGGTCTCACTCCGCCTCCTCCTCATCTTCCCCCTCCTCTCTCTCTCTCTCTCTCTCTCTCTCTCTCTCTCTCTCTCTCTCTCTCTCTAGTGCATCAACACGCGCACGCGCACGTAAACATTCATGCGTGCAGTCGCAATGCCTTGGCACACAATACACAAAAGGAAAAAAATAAAAACACAAAAAGAAAAAAAATCTGGAAACTAAACAAGCACTTTTAATCCCCTAGAAAATGTCAATTTGTTCTTCATAGTTAAAAAATTTGACTGAAGCGATTTAAACTAAGCCTCTCCCCTGAATTTTAATCATATGAAATCAAATTTCAATGCTGAAAATGAAAAATAAAATCCATGCTGAGCTGTTTCTATAGCACTGCAGCAGACTGGACTGTGTCCAATACCATGTAAGCTTGTTTGTTTGTGTGTTTAGAGCTGAATAATTGCTGATAAGGGAGTGAATTGTGTTTACATGGTTGCAGACACACAGTCTGTGGGCAGCTCTGTTGCCCCCTTAGCCAGTGTGCTGAATCTGAGTCCTATATTATTACTTCATCTCAATCTCAATTCAGCCAGAAGCCTCCAATGAACTCATTTTCTGCAGCCGGCACATAGTGCCTCAGTTGTTCTGCTGCACAGTGCAGAGCCGTTCACTTTTAGAGACAATAGCCTTGATTTGAATCATAAAAGCAATGCGGCATTATGACACAGTTTTGCTCTGCAGGGGAGGGTTGCACGCTAATATTCAAGTGCACTGCCTCTATGCCACTGCCTCCCCCTCTGGTACCCTGTTCCTGGACCTGGCCTTGCATAAATTACAGGGAGGAGTTGGGCGATGAATGCAATAGGCCTGTTTGGAGACAGCTTCGTTAGTGCCTGTGACCTCATCTAGAAAGGCTTGTTAGGCATCAAAGACACCTGCTTCATTATGCACTCACTGTGTGATAAATGTTTAACTTAGTATGATTTTAATAGCTGCATTTAACTTGTGCAAATCATTTTGTCCTGTCTTTTTGCTAACTCTTTAACAATACTGAAATTGAGAAAATATTTTTACACTGTCTCCAGATCATGCAATAATTATCCACATAAAGTAAGTAACAACGTAGCAGCAAATGCAAACAAGTTGCATTGAGAAAGATGTAATATTGTTTTAGTGTGCAACAGGTGCTTTCTTGTTTTAATCTGGGTGTGAAGATATGTTTCACCCTAAGGATGAAAGTTACTCATTCTAAACTCTCGCAGGTGTCTGCAGTATTTTGACAGGCTTCCAGTTGGAGGATATCCAAGAGTCAGTGAATCACACTTGTTTTGAATCACACTCAAAACAAGCCAGTCACATTTATACAAATTTTACTGTTTGTACACAAACAATTCAACGATTTCATGTGTGTAGTCCCTGCAATCCTTAATGCCTTGGTGTAGGAATAAAAAAAAAATAAAAAAAACAACTAACACAGCTAAAGGATTGCTTAAATGTTCACAAAATAAAGAAGCAGGAGATTATTAAAAACAAAGCAAAAATAATAATGAAACTCTGCCTTGGCATTCTCTGATTTCATCCTCGCAATTTGATATCCGAAACTTCTCTTCAAGAAATATGATCACTGTTATTGTTTAGGGAATGAAAGAAAAGCTTAAACCTGATCTTGTTGGTATTCCAGGACACCCAGTAATTATTTTTGGTCTTTAGTTTGTTTTCTTATTGGTTCCATTGTTTGTATACCTATAATTTTATCAATTTTAACCTATTACACATTCATACAGTATTTCATTTAATTAGATGCAATATTTTTTGACCATATGAGGAATTAGAATTAGTTTTGTTATCTCCTATGTGTCACACCTTAAGACAAACACACATTAAATGAACAAATAAGGCTATTTGTTTTTGCTGGAAAGAACCTGAGAGAGAAAGTCTGGGTGACAAAGTTCTCACGCAGGACTCAGGGGAAATCTCTGGTCGCAAAAACAAAGAAGAGACAGGCCAGAATTTACAACTCTCTTCTTTCCTGAAAGCAGATCTGTACCTTCCTTTGATCAGTGTTAGCACTGTCCTTAGATCATAAACACAAAGAGGAAACAGCTATTCTGAATTTTAACTGGGATATATATTCTTGAAGGCTTTTAATGTAGAACCAGTTTTTTTCTTTTGTAGCACCTTATATTTCTAGATCCAGCTGTATCAGACATTAATGTAAGGGAAAGGGAAATGAAAAGGCTGCTCTTAAAGGTTGGTGTTTGGTGTTAAGAATAAATATGACAAAAGCCTGTCAAAGGAGGACCACCCATTGTGGGAAATGGTATAAATACATTTATACTGACACCTCATTTCTTAACCCAGCTTGGTTTTTTTGGCAGCAGGTATGTGCTTTTAGATGCATTATGTTCTTAAATGAACTCATTTGAGATCACATGTTCAATTCCTCATTGAAGTCACAAACATTTACATTTGACGCTATCTCTTAAAGCAGTTTTTCTATTTTCCTTTTTATTTTAAGTAATGCAAATATAGAGTGTTATCACAGAAAACAAAATGTATTAATAGAAGCCAAACTGGCATGCTGGGTATGCACAGAAAGACCTATGATGTAAGTTAGCATCAGATTTTTTTATTTAATATTTATTTTGCTGAAATGATTCTGCAAGTTGAAGAGGCTTTCAAAAAGCACATTTTGACAAAATAGTCAGCCACACTTGGGGTCGTCTTTTTCTCTCTTTGCCTTAAGTGTTTATTTAAGTTTGTAAGTTATTTTTCATGAAAACGAGTACATTCGTTTAAGCCATCAACTTTACAGTTTTGGTCGGGGGCATTTAGAGGGCTGATACTCATATCATACTTATTGCTATAAAAACGTTTAGTAGCTTTAAAATATCTTATTTTTAATTGTTTGTTATGTATTTAATTATTGAAGCAGCTTTGCTTAGAGTTTAATGTCCAAATTTCCCCATGGGGACAATAAAGTATCTATTTGTCTATCATCTTTCTTTCTATCTACCCATAGTGCCTATTTAAGAGTATTTGTCCAAATGACCAAGTGTTTAACTGAAGGGTTCAGCAATTCTTTTTATGTCATTAATCACTGGGTATATATAATGCATAGAAAATATAGCATTTTAAAACCAAATCGAGAGGAAGTGGCCATTGCCCTCTCTTTAGGCTTGTTGGCCTTTCAGACCTAAAGGCTTCTAAGTGATGTGGGCAGTAACGGGCAGTGTGTGTGGACACAGTGGACCTGATGACTTTACCACCCAGACCAGACTGATTTATGTGGGAAAAGCCCGAGAAGCACCCACAGAGCGTGTGGAGAGGATTAGAAGACCCTCTGCAAAACAGGTCACGGCCAATCAGCAGCCAAGACCCCCTGCAAAAAAGACGTTGGGGCCCAATTGCAGACGAGGATGGAGCCTGTTAAAAGGCATGTTGTATATGTGGCAATTTCTAGGATATTTTAAAAGATATATATATTTTTTCATTTCTTTCTAACTGTTTGTCTTTTCTTTCATTTATTCATTTTTTTCATTAATTACATATTTTCCTTTTTCTATTTACAGCACAAATATTATTCAAAGCCATACATAAATTACCCAGAATAAAAAAAAAAGGATCAGCCTGTGTTGTTGTTTTTTTTTTTTGTTTTTGATTTTTTTCACCTGTCTTGGCATTTCAGGTCTACCATAAAGTGAAATTGGTTGTAGACATGTGCCAGGGCTAATTTTGCTCTCCAAAGGGCTCAATATGCAGTCATTAAATAAGCATGGGTTTACCTTTAAGGAACAAAATCAAGGCACCCTCTGATGGGTTAAATGCTAAGAAAATAAAACAAATCAGTTTAGATAATACACAAACAACACATGCTAGGAAACTTAAAAAAGGAAATGAACGGATATTGCAGTTGAAATACAGTAATATTATGTTACATTAAATCAAACTCCATTTTATTAAGGTATATTGCAATAAGTAACCCGAATATTGTTTTCAACTATAAGTTGATCAACTGGAAAAAATAGGAATATATAGGTTTATACTTCCGAGTTGCACTCTTCTATTATTAACTTGATTAAAAAACATTATCATCAGGGCATGTTGGCTGTTATGTCTCCAGCTTGGTCACCATCTAAGTTGTGAAGGAATCAGGGCAGACTCTGTGTTTGCATGTTTGAGAACAGCCCCCATTGAAGCACACACCCAACTATATCTCAAAGTGATTAGATTAGGGCTCTTTGGTTCTGCTCCGTTAAAGACAAGCAAGCATTTTTACAGTGGAAAGAAACACCTCTGCTTTTCCAAAGATTTTACAGAGCTCTTTGTGCAGTGACTTTCCCACTGGTGTAGCTTTTTCCATAGAGAAAGAGCCACACCGCAGAAGGTCATTGTACATAGCAGTGGTGTATTTATATATTTTGACATCTTAACCATTAAAAAAATGTATTTTCTTTCATAATGTAGTTTATTTTTGCCAGTTTTATTTTATATCTGTGGCTTTGTTGCAATACACATGACATTTTTCTTGCTCAAAATATAATCTTTCCCTCAACCGAATAATTTGTCATGAGACACTAGGGGAAAAAAATCTGCTGCTTTGTTTGTATTCATACGTTGTGTATTCTGCTTTGCTGTGATTCTTTACTTTCCTCTTTTCCTTCCACCCACTCTGATATACACACAGGGTAACTTAGAAACTAGCCTTTTTTTTTTTTCTTTAAGTAAACATACAGGAATGATGGATCTTTCTTTGGATTGTGGGAAGTAGTGTTTGACTTTCACACAAGGTCTCTAAATGGCTATTAAATTGTGGATGTATGCACAGGTCTTGGTTCTGAAAACCCGGACAGACAGTAGAAAAAAAAGGGGTTGTTTATAGGATTCCTTTGTTTTTACAACTTTCTGTTTCATGCTAAATTGATGTCTCACCACGCAACTTGGAGGCGGTAAAGTTCTTTGAGAGTTTATGTTGATATATCTGCAAACTAAAC